TGTTTAGAAAAAAAAATTGTTGATTTAACTAAATGCAGCGGTCACGGATTTTCAAGCAAATATTTGTTAATCCAAACAAATAACATGTTGAATAACTTACGTATATTTATATTAACTTAAATATATAAATACTTCAACTAAATAATCACTACGAACTAAATGCGTTTAGTCAAATTAATAATTTTTTATCTCACAATCAGTGTATGCATTAATTACGTGAATATAAATCTAAATTATAATTATCATAAATAAACTATTATATACTTTTAATTAACACTTTATTTATTTTTATATCATACATTAATTACGCATTACTCACAGAAATTTATAAGACACCTAAAATTATATTCACATGTCAATTATTATATTAGAATGATTTTTAACACGTTAAGCGCCGAGCCTACTTCTTTTAACTTCTTGTTTTAATTATTTATCAGTTATGGTGTAATTTTTTATATTCAGCCATGACGCTTAACGTGACGCTTAAAATTATCTGTCGTCAGTCATTGGTGATTGACACGGCCTAAACAAAAAGTATATTGTCAGTCATCAGTGACTGACGTGGCGCTTAACGTATTAAACATAAATTAAAATTGTAATATAGATACTGTATGCTTTATGTATATACGCGAATAAAGCTTTTTGAAAATATATTTTTAATAAAGCTTTCGTAAAAATATATCTCGTGCAAAGATTGTATGTTAAAAATATCTGTTCTGTTATAAATGAAATTACTAAAAAATCTCGTTGAGTAGGTTTGATATGGATAGGTTTATTTTGTCAGGGTCTTTCTTTGTAATTAAATTTTTTGAACCGTATTATAATTTTGAATCAAATTATATACAAAAATTATAATAGAGAGAGTTATTAGTAGCTTTTAAAATTATACATACCTTTTAAAAGTTATTTTAACATTGCAAACTTTTTAATTAGTATGCTAATCTATTTAACGTTTTGAAATTAACTTTGGAAGTGACTTTGAAAGTATTAAATCTTTTAAATTTTAACAGCACTTTTGCTCGCCAGCGTTATAGTATATGAAAACTTGTTGAAATTCAAATTGTAATATAGACATAATATAAGCGTTTTTTATGGTTATGCAATTTGTTTAAAAGTTATATGTTTATTATAGTACAAATTTATAATAGTTAACATTAAAAATTAGACATTTGTGCATACACGCCAAGTATGATTTATATGGCTGACAACAGTGGACGCAAATATTTCATTAATATATCTGTAAAATTATTAAAAGTCACGTAAAAATATTTTAAAACAAGAATTAAACAAACGGAAATATTTTTATAGAAAAATTTGATTCGAAAATCAATTAGATTCATATCATGCCTAGTCAGTTGGATAACAGACAGTGCAAGTGGAATAGGTTCATCCATGATCGGAAGCATACCGATTACATTACGGTGTGCGTTAAAGGCTGTCAAATTTAATTAAACAGTTCTGACTCGCAATCGTAAATCCAATATATACGCGCAATGAAATATTCGCATAATCAAAATTACATTTCCCTATAATGATTATTCAAAAATATTGTGAAGTATTACATGTTACTAACATCATAACATTTAGAAACAAAATAAGTGAATTTATTTTTTATTTAATATCAATATTATTTTATTTAATCATTGAAAAATTTATTTTCCATCTAAGTCTCATGTGTTAGTTATCCTTGTTTAATATTCGATGAGCAAGAAGGATAAAATGACATCTGGATGGCACTTGAGTGCGAATCTGCACATTTATTTATATAATTTTTTAAATTTTTATTAGTAAATCACATTTGTAGTAATTTAAATTATACAGATATTGCACACAATATTTAATCTTCAAACAATAGAGATAACATTTTCTAGAAAGAAAAGGAATCATGTTTTGTTTTATTAGCTTTAATATAATCTTTTACCTTCGCGTCGCAGGAAAGATTTTCTTGTGTAAGAGTTTTAAAAACGTATAACGAGACTTGTCGTAATCTTAATGGACCATAATTTTCTTTTATATAAGGCTGTACTGTAGCAAAAACAAAGATTTGCAATAATGAAAACGGAACGATAAAAATTTTTAAATATAATTTTTTTATAATATATTATTTTATAATTAATTATCAAAGCAGCACAGCAT